AGCTGCTTGGGGTGACTGGGTGGGCTCTGTGTCACCTCTGAGGGTTCAGGAGAGGGGTGTGTGTGTGTGTGTGTGTGTGTGTGTGTGTGTGTGTGTGTGTGTGTGTGCATGTGAAGCCTGAGTCTCCAAGGATGGAAATATCTCAGGAGCATCTCCCAGGAGGCCACTGGCCACGAGGCTAAGGGTGATAGGGCTGCTGGGTCCCCACCTGTGTGTATGTGGGCAACTGGTGTTCTGCCCTGGGCAGGGTGTTCAGAACTGGGAAAAATTAAAACAAGCTGCAAAAATTAATAGAATTCAAATCCAAAAAAAAATGTATGAGTAGAAATGTAAATTTATGAAAGTGAGAAATGTACACTTCTGCTTCCCTGGACTTTAGCTCAGGCTCCCCTGAACTCTCTCAGCCCTGGTCACCCCCCAGGGCCCGGCCTTCCTGTTTTGAGGAGCCTGCCCTTCCTTTCCAGCTGGTGCCTGGGGTGAAGGAAGACATTTTGCTTTTCCTGTCCCTTGCCCTGAGGGAATCAGTCCTGTGCACCCCCATTCATGGCTGGGACACCAGGGTGGGCAGGGGAGGGGGTGGGGTCAGGCTGGGGGTACGGAAAGAAAGAGAAAGATGAAGCTGAAAGGAGAGATGGAGGTGTGAGGCAAGCAGCTGCTGACCCAGTGCGGACATGGGAACTTCAGGATTTCAAACTTGTCTGCTTGACAGAAGCGCCGGCCTGTACAGGTCCGATTTTGCAATCCCGAGGCTGGGCATTGTCTGTGTTTCTTGCTTTCCGGTACTCTTGCACCATTTTCTGAGCTTATTTTTCTCACTTGTAAAAGGAGGAAGCTGGTGGTCCATACAGCTCGGAGGGCTGTGTGAGTACCAGCTCTGGGGGAGGGGGGTGTGATTTGAAAATCTGGGATCGTCAGCTTGGGGCTCTCACTGGGACGATGTTCGCCTTCCATGATCAGCCCAGGGCTGGGTGCGGCTGTGGTTGTGTGATTCCGACATTCTGTGACTTTAAGATGCTGAGACTCTGGGAGCCCAAGATGCGGACATTCTGTGCATGCAGGATTCTAGAATTTGATGATTTGATGATTCAATGATGCTAAATGGGGCTGCTGGGAAGAGCTGCAGCCACCTGCCTTGTTAATGTCAATGTTCAGTTATTAAAAACATAACAAGACGCAATGGAGACAGATAGCTTGGGAAGGGATGACAGCCCCACCCCTGAGTGAAGGAGGGGAGGAAGGGTGCCTTGACATCAGAGGAGAGGGGGACCCCTTTAGCCTGGTCACATGGGCTCTCTCTTGCCACAGCAGACTTGGTGCATGTTCATGTGAGGGGCTGCCACTTTCTAAGCTTGTATGTCATGGGAGTAATTCCCATCACCCACTGCCTCCATCTCCCAGCCATCTAAGTCTATGGCCAGAGAGTATCCTTCTTCCCATCTGAGCCCTCAAGGTGTCTTCATAGAGCTGTAGATGGAAGAGGAAGGAGGGACCTACTCACTCCCTTTCCAACAGCTCCCTGAGGGGAAAACAGGACATGAGTCCTTCCTGGACATGGGTGTGGAGATGCAGGAACTTTTGCCAGTGAGGGCTGGGGACCCAGAGACCATCTAGAGGATATTCTCTGCACTCCCTACAGACTTGGCTTTTACCCCGAGGGTCAGGGAGCCTAGAAGAGCTGGTGGAGTCCAGCCTGAGTCTCAATTTGGCACAAGGCCAGCCCAGTTGTCTAGTATCTCATTGCCTCTTGGATCCCACTTGTGCCTCAGTACTCAGGCCAGAGTTGGAAAGGAATCCTGGTTCAAGAAGATCTTGCCTTCTAGAACCCAACCTTGGGGGCCCTAAAGAAGCCTGTCATGGCTGCATATCCAGAACTCCCCGGCTCAGTGGACTGCCAGATCAAAACTAGTCCAGGTCCCATTGCCCAGCAGGTCTGAAACAGAGCTTCCTGGTCCCCTGGGTGTGCCTCACTGTCCCCAGCCTTTCCCTTCCCCTGGGATCCCTGCGGAGCAGGAATGGAGTCAGGACCCAAGTTCAAGGGCAGAGTCCCTGTCTGCCATGCTCCAGTTTTCTCCTCCCACAGGATAGAAAGCAGGTTGGGTGGAGACAGCTGTTCCTGTCATCCACAAAGCTCCATTGTGTACTACCTCCTGTCTTGGTCTCAAGGGTAGGGTCCTCTGCAAGGAACCCTCCCTAGCTGACCTCCCCAGGCTCTCAGAGAGCCTTCCTGTGGCTCCCCGGCAGGGCTTTCTTCTCAGGTCTGCCACACCCCCCCCCCCCCCCGTCCCCTCATTCTCTCTCATAGCCACGTACCCCAGGCTCTCTCCCATCCCCATAGGTCTCCATTTCTGTGTGTGTGTGCGTGTATGTGTGTGTGTGTGTGTCTCCCTCAAAAGCCATCCTAGGAAAAGTCCTAGAAGATCACATCTAACCCTTTTCTTCTGATGAAGACCTCCTCAGAGAGGGGAGGGTCCTGCCTAGAGTCACATGGCAGGCTGTGGCGAGCTCTGTGCTGTGCCCCTTCTCTTCTGGGTCACGGGCACACCCTGCCCTTGGCCTCAGGAATCCAGGGTTTGAGAACTGACCATGATAGAGCCAGCACAGAATTTGCAGGTGCCTCCTGAAGCACAGCTCACTTCTCTTAGCCCTACCCCACAGCCCCAAACTGCTGTCCCTCTTCTTTGTTCAGGCTCCTGTCTTCTCCACTGTCTCTGATTTCTAGATGGCCATTTCCTTTGGCAAAATCCTGACCTTGTGACTGAGCGGGGCTCAGGCCTCCATGCCCAGTATGGGCACTCATGCATACAAACAGATATATACAACTATCACAAACACAAACGAATCCCATCCCAGGTGACAATTTGACCAGGCAGATAGGCAGTCACTCTGCTTTCTAGTGACTTCTCTTTGCTGTGAGTCCTCCATGAATCTCACGAGAAGCCCTTCAGGTTCCTGCAGATGGGTTCCACCTCACTAAATCATTAGTGGCAGCTAGGACATGAGTGTCTATTCCTCTCAAAGGCCCCTCTGCCTTAAGATCCCTCTCTCCTGTCTCCAGGAGCAACTCAGCTCCCTGGGACTGAGTGGGGGGATCCACAGAGGTCCCAGAGGACAGTGTGACAGTGAAGAGGAACCAACAGATGAGACTTTGCATCTTCTCAAAGCAGGCTCCGCCTCCTATGGTGACCTCCCTATCTGGTGTCTGGGCATAGCCCTGTCCTGTTGCTCTTTAGTACTAAGGGTTTTGTGTCCCCTCTGACACATAAGTCAGAGAACCAGAAGCCTTGATACCCCTGTGGTAGATTTTTGACTGAATCCTGAGAGGTCAGGTTCTTAGGGTTCAGGCAATGCATTGGCAGGTAAATACACATTCCCAGAACACTGTGGTGGAAACGGTGTGACCTGGCTGGGTTGGGCAAGTAGGGAAGTGACCATCAGCATTCCAACTGGGGAGGGCCGGTGAATGCCCAGCTGAGATTCTTTCCCTGTCTAGTCCCCCAGACTTGGGGTTCAGTTGAGGGGATCAGAAAGGAGGGAGGGATGGGGTGCCTGAACAGGAGCTTCTCTAGGAGTCTCTAGGGGTGGTAGAGGCTCACTGCCACTCGATGTATTTCCCTGGGAAAGGAGGGCACTCAGGACTGTGGGGACAGCCCCTCGGGTCAGACACTTATTTCGGTCCTTGTCATTTCCTCTGCAGGACAAGCAGGGTGAGTGGGGTCACCACACAGAGGGAAGGGGTGGACCAGAGCCAACACGTGCCAGGCCCCACAGCAGCCAACACCGTGATCTCGCCAAACCCTGGGTTATAATCAGTCCCCTGTAGAGGTCTAGCCACTCAGCCACCATCGTCCGGGGAGATGGCCACCCCTACACCATCACTCTGCACACAGACGCTCTGAGTGACACTCAGGACTAGCTGTGTGCATAGCAAAACAGGAAACCCCACAGGACATAGGGGACATGTGAGACAACCAGACACCTGACACAGTCACTCCACAGGCATCCACACACCAGGTGCAGCTACTGCCACCTCCCCCACCCCCCGAGGGCCAGAGACTCCTGTGGCCACAGGCAGGTGTCCAGGGCCTGGGTGGGAAGAGGGGGATGCCAGGCAGGGAACCTAGCTCTTCCCCATGCCAAACTGTGTCTCCCCCATCCTGCTGAGTGCCCGAGGCTGTTTATTTCCTTTCAGGGATGGGTGTCTTGTCCCCCTCCCCCTCTCCCCACCCTGTCCCCACCACACGCTTCCGAAGCTGCCAAATCAAATCAGTCCCTGCACCCGCGCCAGGCTGGCATGGAGGCCAGCAGCTGACGGGAACGAAGCCAGGCTCAGAATATCCCACCGCCTGTCCGATGCTGGGACATGCTTGGGGGTGGGGGGTGGGGAGAGGCAGGAGCCTGCAGCTGGCCCAGGACAGTGCTTGTCAGAGAAGCTGGGCTTCTCGAAGTTGCCTGGGTGGTGGACCTCTGAGAACAAGAGAGCCGGTCCTTGGTGGGTCTGTCTGGCCTGCCGCATCTTGTTAGCAGCACTTTGGAGGTGGTGTTGGGAGACATGGGTGGAGGTCCACTCAAGGATTCGGTGCCAGACTGGGGGGAGTTGCTTGCACACCAGATGCAAATTCTTGGGATTTTCAGCATCTCTGGACCTTGAACGTCTACTCTGGAGAATTACTACTACTTCAGGTGGATGTTCTAATCCCCTTTTACAGAGAGGGAAACCGAGGTTTAGGAAGGGCTGAGGAGGTTTCCTGGAGGGACCTCAGGACAAGTAGAACCATCTTCATCTCTATGCCTTGGGAGCACTAGGCCAAAAGGCAAGATGTCCTCAGAGTTGAGAAAAAGCAGAGATGGAGGTGCCCAGGGGACAAGCAGGGCACAAGCCGGTGGGGCTGCCTGGAGGAGAAAGCCACCTGTGGGCTTGCTGGGGGCTGGTGGGAGGGCAGGCTGGGGAGAAGGGGAGAAGGCCTGGTAGGCCTCAGCCCTTGGCCTTCTTGTCTCTGCAGCCAGCCAGGACCCCCTTGCACAGGAGCCAGAACCCCCAGGGAGTAGAGCCGACGGACTGGAGGTGAGAGCTCAGTGGAGGGGAGAGCGGGCGGGCTTTGGGGGCGGGGGCAGGATTTGGAGGCCGGAGCTGCACCCCAGGCCCACCCCTTCCAGCCTGAGGGCACACACACCAAGACCTTCTGTGCCGAGCCTGGAGGGCGCCCTGCCCTCAGTTCACCTGAAGGCCATTTCAGACTCCTCTCTGGTTGTCCCCTGCCCCTTGCTGAGTCCCAGCTCCGTTCCTGCACCGGTCATCTCCCTGACACCCACTGGCTGCTTGCTTCCAGTTGTTCTTATCTCCCCTCCGATTGCCAGAAGGATCTTTTTGACACCCAAATTTGAACTTGTCATTCTACTCACAAATTCTCCATGTTCCCGTCCTCTTGACCCTCTGAAGCTCCAGCCTACCACAACCTCCCTCAGCCATTCTTGCCTCCCCAAGCACCTGCTGCTGACATCCTAAACACTTCCGGGGCTCTGCAGTAGCCTCCCTCTTCCAGGATGGCCTCCTCCCACTCTCCATCAACTCTAGTCCCAGCCGGCTCATGCTCCCTCCTCTGAGCTCTCCCACCTGGCTGTTGGGTGCTAGGGCATTCCGTTGTCTTTTGTCTACTGTGTGTGCCATAGGACCCTATTTTCTTCATCCAGTGATTCTGTGTGTGTGCCTGGCTTGTCCCCTGCGCTGTGAGTTCCCTAAGCTTGGGGGGCCATGTTTCTCTCATTCCTACCTCCACTGATGGGAGGGCTGACAGCCTTTGGGATGCCTTGAATTAACCTTCCATGTTCAACGAATAACAAAAATGGGGTGAACTGTGGGTACTGAAGATTGACACAGAGTGGTGTGTGTGTGTGTGTGTGTGTGTGTGTGTGTGTGTGTGTGTGTGTGTGTGTGTGTTTGTAATGTTTGTGCACGTGCATGCACGTGTACTGGTTCATTCGTCTGCCAGTGTGCCCAAGTGAACTGAGTGGAGGTTGCTGCCTGTGTCAGCCCCCTTGGTGCCAAGCACTTTGGGCACGTGCCCTCGTTCAACTCTTAGCATAACCCAGGACTGCTGTGTTCGGGGGAAGCCAAGATTCAGAGCAGGTGCTGGGGGTGGGTCAGGGCAGAGTTGGGGCTAGATGCCTCCCTGCCCATTCATTGAGATGAGAAAGAGATGTCCACAGGGTCTGAGGCTCAACATGGCTTTCCTACTATAGCCTGAGGCCAGGGCTGAGAATGTCCCTTGAAGGGGGACCGGGTCCTGGTGCTCGGAGCTGGCCAAAGGAAGAGGGAGGATGGCAGTCATTATTAATTTATTTATTGCCATGGCATTCCCCATGGGTGGGAGCTCCCCCCAGAGCTGGGACAGATGGTGTTCCTGGGAGCCGGCAGTATCTCAGCAGCCTCGGCCACCCGCCAGGAGAGATGCATTTGTCACCCACCCAGGAAGCCACGAGGGGAGGGATTTGGAGAAGCTGAGACCCTCGAGGGTTGCGGGGGCTGAAGGAGCCTGGCTCTAGGTTCTGTGTCTCTGTGCAGGCTCTGTGCCTCCGCCATTGTTCCTGTCTGCACATTCACATACCGTCCCTTCCCCATTCCACCAGCCTCATCCTCTCCACGAGGCCTCCCTGGATCTCAAGCCCTTTGTTCTCAGCACTGTGGTCTCTCTCTGCCTTTCCTGTGTTTGGGTCCTGCTGCCTTCTCTGATTAAAGAGTCTAGTCTGGGACTGACCTAGCTCTACTCTGCCCACTAACCTTCACCCATCTCAAAGGATGGTCATCATCAGCTTTGCCTTGTGGGAGGACCTGCTCTGGGTCTGGGTCTGTGGCTTCCCAGTGTGTGACCATGGGCCTGCCATGGATCCATCCTGAACCCATCTTCCTCACCTGAAAGTGGAGGTAAGACCTCCCAGTGGATGTAGTTCAGGTTGGTAGAGTGTTTGCTTATCGTGAACAAGACCTCTATCCTCAGCTCTGTGTGAATCAGGCATGGTACTGCCTGCCTTTAATCTCAGGATTTAGGAGTTGGAAGCAGGAGGATCCCAAGTTCAACATCATCCTCATATTCATATCCAGTTCAAGGTCAGCTTGGGATACATAACACTTTTCTTAAACAAAACAACATAAATAAGGAAGCAACAACAAAAAGCCCAAATAAACAAAAAAGGTTGTTACTGGGACAGAAGCACTGTTATTAGCATCAGCATCCAGAGCAGCTGGGAGAAGTTGCGGGGCACGCGTGAGGACCTGGCCCAGGCCTGTGCCACAGCTGCTTGTGGGACGAGCTTTCTTGCTCAGTGTTCCTTAGAGTCAGGACTAAACTGCCTGCCCTCCACCACACACACAAGACTGCATGCGGTAGAGCTGGGATGAGGCTTGTAGTTCTGCGGGCATGGGACATTCTTCCGGCACTGGCTTGGGGGCAGCAATGGGGCCATGCTGTCAGCACATCTCCCCACCCAGCAGGCCCCTTGGCCAGCTGGGGGGCTGGGGGCTGGTTAGCTAATCCTGGGATCCAGGCCCTGGCATCGTCACACTCAGTGGGAACAGTTGAAGTTGGTGAACCGAGCACACCAAGTTGATACCTCTGAGCCGGGAACAGGGACCACGTGGGGTCCTGGGAGCTCCAGCTGGGATGAAGGCTGGAACAGATGCTGAGACAAAGGCACAGGAGCCTATACCAAGTGCTCCATTGCACGGTCCATCCTTTGCACCTCCGTGGCTGCTTTTGGAGAAAATAAAGACCACACCCCTTGGCATGGCACTGAGAACCCATGCCCACTGGGTTCTCTCTCAACCGCTCCTTGCTCTTAGACGGTCAGTGCTTCAGTCTGGTGACTTTGCTCAATCCTCAGCACACTCCAGCTCTTCCAGCCTCCCATGTACTGGCTCATACTGACCCCTCCAGGTTAGATATCACCTCCTCTGTGAAGTATCCCACTTCAGGTGGAGTGGGTCTCCTCCCCTCCCTAGGCACTCACAGCTTTCAGTCTCCCAGGTGGACCACTGGGCAGTCACTACACCACACAGTTACTGAGTTGTATATCTCCTCTCAAGTGACTGAAGACATCTGTTCATCGCTCAGGTTCATTTGGGCCTGGCATACAGTGGATGCTTAATAAAGACTACTCGAGTGAATGACCATTCCTGTGCATAGGGTTGGAGTCCTAAGAAAAAGGGTCAGTTAGTGGATCAGGGGAGTCATGGAGACTTCTGGGAGGTGGCCTTGAACTGTGAAGGATGGAGAGAGTCAAGGCCAGAGATCAGCTGGGCTGTCAGAATCCATGTCGTCTGCTCCTGACAGAACCAATAAGGGAGACAGAGACCAGGAACCCCCAGGTAGAAGAGTCTGAAACTCGGCCCCAAGGCGGAGCCCTGAGGAGGTGGGAAGGTGTGGTTTGAGAGCTATGGACAAGATGGAGGCTCCAGTGGTGGATGAGGGGCCCACGCGCTGGTTAACAATGGGCAGAACTGGGAGCTGTGCAAAGCAAGATTGCTGCTGTGGAGGGAAAAGGCTTGAGTGAGCACAGGTGGGCAATGAGGAGGGCTCCACATGTCAGTGGGGCACAGGTCCTGGGCAAAGAGCACTGGGGTGAGGCTGGAAGGGCCACAGTCGAGGCTGTTTTCCAGGCCTAGCTGAACATTCTTTATCAAGCATGCCTGTTGCCAGCTGTTCCGCTTCCTCCTGAGTTCTCACATCAAGCAAGTGGCCTCGGTGCTGCCCTGTGGCCCCTGAGGGAGCTGCTGCCAACAAGTTGGCTGTAGCATCTGGCATCCACGGGGGCCCTGAGGCCCTGCCATCTGTCTGTGCCCACCTGTCAGGCCGCACAGGCCTGGGGCATGTAGGGCCTTGGGACTAGAGAAGAGGTTTCAGCTGTCACCCTAGCCCATCTCTCTGTCTGCCCATCCATCTGTCCCAACCCCGACTGATGAGAGAACAGTGGAAATGGCTTTACAGGCGGGTCAGAAAAATGTAGTCAGAAGAGAGAGGCATCAGAGAAGATGCAAGCTGGAAGGAGGCCAGGCTGCAGGCTTAGGGAGAGATCCAGGCTCCTTGAGAACCAGGAGTCAGCTCAGAAAAACATCAGGGGCTAGCTGAGAGATGCACAGCAGGTCCACAGTGGTGTTGGGACAGATGCTGAGGGCCCAGGCGTGAGCGTGAGAGATGAACACCCCCCTCCTTGTCCTGCTTGGCCCTTGGCTGTAAACACTCAGAGAACAAGTTCCGTTTCCCGGGAAATATTTATCTCAGGCCGTGTGGGGAGCGTGTGTGTTGGCCTCTTCGTGTCCTTCCTGCAGGTTGGCCCGGGCAAGAGGTGAGGGGCCTTGGCAGCCATAAGGGACAATCTGTAGGGCCACAGGAAAAGCCAGGAAGGAGGGGGTGTACCCTGAGTTCCCTGATTGGAGCCTGAGTCAGAACCATGCTGGCCTGGGAGGGAGGAACCTGTTTTTTCTAAATTCCACAGAGTGACCTCTGCTCTCTCATCCTGTCTTCGTCCTGTCAGTCCTGGCTCCGCCAGGTTCCCGTCTCTAAGACATTTTGCTCCCGTCTGGTTCCCAGTTCCCCAACTCTAAGCCTTTTCTTTCCCGTCCTTCATGTTTCCCAGCTCTCAGAGGTTTCCTTAGCGGTGACTTCCTCTGGGACAGCTTTTCCAACTCTTTGACCCCCTGACCCTTTGTCATCCACCCTCCTTCTCCTTTCTCTCTTAGGCTCCCAGGCTGAGGCCTGCTGCTCTTGTCCAGAGTCGGTCAGACAATGTTTGTTGTAGACTGCCAGGAGTCTCACTAGGAAGCAGGGGCTGGGCCCTTGATCAATGGGCAAGGCCCCGTGAGTATCTCCTGTGCCCCTCTCATGGGACCAGCCCAAGCCCAGGCACTTCAAGAATTGGAGTATATTGAGAGGAGACCATGAAAAGCCCCATGAGCCCACACAGAATCGGCAGGGAGGCAGAGGAGCCCAGAGTTCTTGCTGACTGGCTTCAGGCTGTATGTCTCAGACAGGGCCCAGCCCGACTGGACCCTGACAACAGGAAACCCCTGAA